TCCAATGAAAAATGAACAAACTGCATAACCAAACTTATGGGACACAATGAAAGTGGTACTAAGAGGGAAGTTCAGAGCATGGATATAAAAAAATTGGAGAAATTTTTAAGTGTCTAATAAAAAAAATTAGAGATATCATGCTAGCAACTTACCAGCACACCTAAAAGCTCTAGAACAAAAAGAAGTAATCACACTCAAGAGGAATAGATGGCAAGAAATAATCAAACTAAGGGCTGAGATCAATAAAATAGAAGCAGAAAGCAATACAAAGAATCAATGGAACAAAGAATTTGTTCTTTGAGAAAATCAACAAGATAGACAAACCCTTATCCAAACAAGCTAAAAGGCAGAGGGAGAATATTTAAATCAACAAAATCAGAAAGGAAAAGAGGGACATAACAACAGACCCAGGAAATCCAGAGAATCATCAGGACAAACTCTGAAAACCTGTACTCTGCCAAACTGGAAAATATAAAAGAAATGGATGATTTTCTCAATATATACCACTCGCCAAAGTTAAATCAAGATCAGATAAATAATTTAAATAGACCTATACCCCCCTACTGAGATAGAAGCAGTCACTAAAAGTCTCCCAAACCAAAAACAGCCCAAAGATAGATAGTTTTAGCACAGTATTCTATGAGACTTTCAAAGATGAATTAATGTCAACACTCCTCAAATTATTCCACAAATAGAAACAGAAGAAACAATGCTCAATTTATTTTATGGGACCACAATTACCCTGATACCCAAACCACATAAAGACTCAACAGAGGAAGAAAATTACAGATCAACTTCCCTTATACTTGAAACCAAATCTAAGAATACATTAAAAAGATCATCCACCATGATCTTTTTAATCAAGTAGGTTTTATCCCAGAGAGGCAAGGATGGTTCAATATATGAAAATCAGTCAAATTAATCTACCATATAAACAAGCTGAAAGAACAAAATTGCATGATCATCTAATTATATGCAGAAAAGGCCTTTGACAAAGTCCAACACCTCTTCATAATAAAAGTCCTGAAGAGATTAGGGAGACAGAAGACATACCTCAGCATAATAAAGACAGTTTACAGGAAGCCCATAGCTAACTAATATCAATTTAAATTGAGAGAAATTCAAAGCAATTCTGCTATTCAGGAACAAGATAAGGTTGTCGACTCTTTCCATATCTATTCAATATAGTTCTTGAAGCTTTAGCAAGATCAATAAAACAATTAAAGGAGATCAGGAGATATTAATTCAAAAGGAAGAAGTCAAAGTATCATTATTTACAGATGATATTATAATATGTATAAGTGACCCTAAAAATTTCACCAGGGAACACCTGATAAACACTTTCAACAAAGTGGCTGGGTACAAGATTAACACACACAAAAATCAGTAGTCCTTCTATATATTAGTGACAAACAGACTGAGAAAAAAATCAGAGAAATAACACCTTTCACAATAGCCTCAAATAATACAAAATATCTTGGGTTAACTCTAACCAAGCAAGTAAAAGGCTTGAATGATAAAGACTTCAAGCATTTGAAGAAAGAAATTGAAGAAGATATCAGGAGATGGAAAGATCTCCCATGTTCATGGATTGGAAAGATTATCATCGTAAAGATGGTCATCATCCCAAAAGCAATATACAGATTCAATGAAATCCCCATTAAAATTGCAACATAACTCCAACATAATTCTTTACAGACCTTCCAAGGTCAATTCTCAACTTCATATGGGAAAAAGCCAGGATAGCTAAAACATCCTGAACAATAAAAGAACTGCAGAGCGTCCCATCATTCCTGATGTCAAGTTGTACTATTGAGCTAATAATAATAAAAAAAAGAAAAACCACATGGTATTGGCATAAAAACAGACACATTGACCAATGGAATCAAATGAAAGATGCAGACATAAATCCATACACATATGAACACCTAATTCTTGATAAAGAAGCCAGAAATACACACTGGAAAAAAGACAGCATCTTCAGCAAATGATGCTGGTCAAACTGGATGTTAGCATGTAGAAGAATGCAAAAAGATCCATATTTATCACCCTGCAAGAAGTGAAGTCCAAGTGTATTAAAGACCAAAACATAAAACCAGATACACTGAGCCTTAAAGAAAAGAAAGTAAACCTTGAACACATTGGTACAGGAGAAAAATCTTTGAATGACAGAGCATCCATAGCTCAGGCACTAAGATCAATAATTAATAAATGGGACTTCATAAAACTGAAAAGCTTCTGTAAGGCGATGGACAATCGTACAAAGTGGCAGACTACAGAACAGGAAAAGATTTTTACCAATTAAACTCCTAACAAAAGACTAATATCCAAAATATATAAAGAACTCAAGAAACTAGATATCAAAAAACCAAACAATCTAATTAAAAATGAAGTACAGATCTAGACACAGAATTCTCAATAGAGTAATCTCATATGGCTGAGATCAATAACACAAGTGACAACTCATGCTGGCAAGGATGTGGAGCAAGGGGAACATTCCTCCATTGCTGGTGGGAGTGCAAACTTGTACCACCACTATGGAAATCAATACAGCAGTTCCTCAGAAAATTGAGAATAGATCTACCTCCAAAACCATCTATACCACTCTAGGGCATATGCCCAAAGGATGCTCCATCCTACCACAGGACACTTACTCAACCATGTTCATTGTGGTCTTATTCATAATAGTCAGAAATTAGAAACAGCCTATATGTCCTTCAACAGAAGAATGGATAGAGAAAATGTGGTATATTTACACAATAGAGTATTGCTTAGCTGTTTAGAAAATGACGTCATGAAATTTTTAGGCAAAATAAAACATTATGAGTGAGGTAACCCAGACCCAGAAAGACAATTATGGTATATATTTACTTATAAGTAGATATTAGCCATTAAGTAAATAATAACTAAGCTACAATCCATAGACCCAGAGAGGTTAGATAAAGAAGAGGAGTCTAGGGGTTCTGGGAGTGGGAAATAGATTAGATTTTATTAATAGACTTGGGGTGAGAAGGGGTGGAAGGAAAGGGATAAGGTGGAGGGGGAGAGTGCAGGGAGAGGGTAGTGTCAAGACCTAGTGCTGTGGAAACTTCCTGGAATCCATGAATGTGATCCTAATGAGTCCTGGTAAAGAGGGATAGAGAGTCTCAACTAATCATCTCTTGTAGCCAGGCAAGGCTTCCAGAGTTGGGACTAGGTACATTCAATTGAGTTGTTTGCCAAGGGGGTCCCAGGAAAATCCCTAAACAACCCAGGCTGTTGCTGAAACAAAACCCTGTTCTACACAAACTGACAGTGGGGCCCCATTGCCAAGGATGGCACTCACATAATTCATTGAACATGGGAAAGTCAAGTTGATGCCCACATGGAGCCCTCACCCCTATGTTCTAGTCTCTTTAATGTGAGGAAGTACTCTGTAGGCTACTAAAAAATAAATGTGGACTCTAATCCAGCCACAAAACCTTTGACCTACAATCTGTCCTACCTGAAAACTATGCCAGGGCAATGGTAGCACAGAATCTGTGGTAGTAGCCGACCAATGTCTGATTTTAGCTAAGTCCCACTCCATGAGGAGAAACCCATACCCAACACTGCTTGAATACCCAAGAACCAAAGACTAGATGGCTCAGAGATCTAGGGTAAAAACAAACACTAGTAGTCTTAAAAAAAATGTCAGTGAAATGATTCCTGTTGATACTCTTCTATATTCATATAGATCAGTGCCTTACACAGTCATCATCAGAGAGGCTTCCTCCAGCATCATATAGAAACAGATGCAGAGACCCACGGCCAGAAATTATGTGGAGAGAGAGTCTAAATTGGAAGTCTCTATCAAATCCCTCCCCTTAAGAGCTCAGGGAATTCCGAGAAAGAGAAAGCAGAAAGATTGTAAGAACCAGAGGGGATGAAGGATACCAGAAGAAGGTCCTCTGAATCAACTAAGGAGGGTGCGTATGAGCTCTCAAAGACTGAAGCAGCAAGCATAGGGTCTACACAGGTCTGTACTAGGTCCTCTGTGTTTATAGTACAGCTTTCAGCTTAGTATTTTTATGGAACTCCTGACTGAGTGGGTCTCTAATTCTGTGCCTGCTCTTGGGTCTCTCTTCCTCCTGTTGGTTTGCTGTGTCCAACTTTGATGTGATAGTTTTTGCTTCATCTTATGATATTTTACTGTCATGTTTGGTTGTTATCTCTTAGAAGCCTGTTCTTTTCTAATGAGAGACAGAAAGAGAATGGTTCTGGAGGGGAAGGAAGGCAGGAAAGAACTGAGGGGAGTAGAGTGAAGGACAACTATAATCAGGATATACTGTATAAGAAAAGAATCTATTTTCAATAAAAGAAAAAAACTAACTATTGAAAGGAGTGAAGGGAAAAAAGAGAAAAGGGGGACGAATCAAAACAGATAATAGTTCCTTGAGAGAATTTGAGAATCCAGAAACAATTGCCTAAGGCTGCTCTTTGCAACAATAAAGAATTGTAAGTTGCTTCTTGTAAGTGTATTCAATTTGTTTCATTTAGTCATTTGTTGTCTCTTTTTTCCCAGCACTTGCTATTCCTAGCCAATGGTGGTAAATAGTATAGTACATAGGATAGGAAAGGGATTAGAGTTAGCTAATCTATGATTAGATATACACTGGAGCATACTGCAGATAGATGATGATGCTTAAGGCACATAAGTAATGAAAAGTAAAATTTTGCTCCATCTTTCTTTCTTTCTTTCTTTCTTTCTTTCTTTCTTTCTTTCTTTCTTTCTTTCTTTCTTTCTTTCTTTCTCTCTCTCTCTCTCTCTCTCTCTCTCT